GTAGATACACTTACCTACTTATACGTGTTTTATATATTTTGTATTATTATTATAAATATGTTTATTAGTTTTATTAATTAACAAAGCAAAATATATATTAACAATAATCTTACAATGGATTTTTAGTAATCATGTGTATTGAATTCAGGATTCTGAGTGGAGTAAAAATATTATAGTTCCCCAGTTTTAATTCGGTTTTATGATAGTACCTCATTGCGTAAAAGTTAAATTCCTTAACAATAGATTACTACGACCGGTCCTGTCGGCTTGTTATAAAACTGAGTTCCTTGCCATAAATTAGAAAAATCAGCCGAGAACTCTAACAATCAGCTTATGGTAAAGCAGGCGATAAGGGTTTTACCTGAAAGTCACTTCCGTAAATTTTAGTGGCGCTCCTATCGGCAAAGTACTGAACTAACTGCTCAAATTCTGTCGAATTGATACCCATTTCTTTCAATAACTGTTAGATTTGGTTAAAAACTCTGCTAACCAATAGATCATTAATTTTCCTCTGATATTCCTGTTAAAATTATTCGACATATTTTGCATTCATTTGTGGTATATTTTGATTTTAATATACACATTATTATTTAAACAAATTGTACCACTAACAAACATTTAATGCAGCCCCGTAGCTAGAAAACTTATTCAGGGGGGGGCAAGTTTGTCGACAGAGGGGGCTTCATGTAAATATTTATATTTTAATAATACACTCAGATAACTATTTTATTTTTTCTGAGTTTTTATATTTGAAAGAACATTAAAATAATTGGAAACGTCGATTTTTTACGCTAAATTTTCGTAAAAACCTGTGGAAGTCCAAAAAATTAGTACGGTACTCGGTTAAAATGCTGGTTAAAACAGAGAATGTAGATTCACCAACAGCTGTACTGCATCCAAAAATTTGTGTAGTGGCTATATAGGTAACATCCAATTTGTTTGAGTTTATTTTTTTGCATGTTTAGTACATATTTTAAAAATCCGACTTCGAAACCAAATAGTTCGAAAATTTTGGTACGGAACCATGAACTCGTCATGTTTTTTTAAACTCGTCGAGATGTGTATTTCAGAATTTTTTGTCAACTTTAACAAAAGCTCCATTTTTGGAAACCCATATAAAATTTTTGACTTTTCCCAAGCATTTTCGAAAATTACCATTCATCTCGATTTCTTCCAAAAATCGTTTTGGATTCAATTTTTTTGAAAATTCTTACATTTTTTGCAGAATCGACGGAAGAAAAATGGCAATTTTTGAGAACCTGTATCAAATTTTTGATTTTTTTCAAGCACGTTCGAAATTACCAAAAGAGATTCCTTTATTGATTTCGATCTCCAGATGTTATTTTTGGTTGTTTTTTCGAAAATTCGTACAATTTTTCCATAATCGCCAAAAGAAATGTGGTAATTTTTGAGAAATTTTGAAAATTTCAGCTCGAAACCGAGTATTTCGAAAATTTTGATCCGGAACCTTGAACCTCTCATGTTTTTTTAAGCTCGTCGAAATCTATATTTCAGAATTTTTTGTCAACTTTTACGAAAGTTCAATTTTTGAAAACCCATATAAAATTTTTGGCTTTTCCCAAGCATTTTCGAAAATCACCAAAAGAGATTCCTTTGTTCATCTCGATTTCCAGAAATCGTTTTGGATTCAATTTTTTTGAAAATTCTTACAATTTTTCCAGAATCGACGGAAGAAATATGGCAATTTTTGAGAACCTGTATCAAATTTTTGACTTTTTTCAAGCACGTTCGAGATTACCAAAAGGGATTCCTTTATTGATTTCGATCTCCAGATGTTGTTTTGGGTTGTTTTTTCGAAAATGCGTACAATTTTTCCATAATCGCCAAAAGAAATATGGTAATTTTTGAGAAATTTTAAAAATTCGAGCTCGAAACCGACTAAGTATTTCGAAAATTTTGATCCGGAACCATGAACCTGTCATGTTTTTTTAAGTTCGTCCAAATCTATATTTCAGAATTTTTTGTCAACCTTTACGAAAGTTCAATTTTTGAAAACCCATATAAAATTTTTTACTTTTCCCAGGCATTTTCCAAAATTACCGAAAGGGATTCCTTTATTGATTTCGATCTCCAGATGTTGTTTTTGGTTTTATTTGGTTGAAAAGTCGTAAAATTTTTCAGCAATCGCCAAACGAAATGTAATTTTTGAACTTTGAAACCGAATGTTTCGAAAATCTTGATCTGGGACCATCTAGACCTTGTGTTTTTTAATTGAGCTCGTCGAGATCAACATTTCAGATTTTTTTGTGGATTTTTAGTCAACTTCAACAAAAGCTAAATTTTTGAAAATCTATAAAATGTTTTTGACTTTTCCCAACCGTTTTCGAAAATTAGCAAAAGGGATCTCTTTATCGATTTCGATCTCCAAATGTTGTTTTTGGTTTTATTTTCTCGAAAATTTGTACAATTTTTCCAAAGCCGCCAAAAGAAATGTAATTTTTGAGAAATTTTGAAATGTCGACTTTGAAAGCGAATTTTTCGAAAATCTTGGTCTGGGACCATCAAGACCTTATGTTTTTGGATTAAGCTCATCGAGATCTACATCTCGGAATTTTTTGTTGATTTTTTGTTAATTTCAACAAAAGCTCAATTTTTGAAAATCCATATACATTTTTTGACTTTTCCCAAGCATCTTCGAAAATTAGCAAAAGGGATCTCTTTATTGATTTCGATCTACAGATGTTATTTTTGGTTTTATTTTTTTGATATTTCGTCGAATTTTTCCACAATCGCATAAAGAAATAACTTTTTTTTAAGTCACTTTTGAGATTTTTTAGAAATTTTAGGTAGAAACCCAATATTTCGTAAATTTTGCTCCGGGAGCATGAACATGTTTTTCGATTAAGCTCATTGAGATCTATATTTCAGAATTTTTTGTCAACTCTAACAAAAGCTCAATTTTTGAAAACTAAATAAATTTTGACTTTTCTTAAGCATTTCCAAAAATTACCAAAAGTCATTCTTTTATTTATTTCAATCTTCAGATGTTGTTTTTGGTTTTATTTGATCGAAAATTTGTAAATTTTTTCTAGAATCGTCAAAAGAAATAGGAGTATAATTTTTGAGAAATTTTAAAAAGTCGACTTGGAAACCGAATAGCAGCAAGACCTTATGTTTTTTGACTAAACTCGTCGAGATCTACATCTTAGAATTTTTTGTAGATTTTCAGCCAATTTCAACAAAACTCAATTTTTGAAAATCTATAAAAAAAATTTGACTTTTCCCACGCATTTTCGAAAACTAGCAGAAGGGATCTTTTTATTGATTTCGATCTCCAAATGTTTTTTTTTTGGTTTTATTTTTTCGAAAATTCGTACAATTTTTCCAGAGCCGCCAAAAGAAATGTAATTTTTGAGAAATTTTGAAATGTCGAATTTGGAACCGAATTTTTGAAAAATCTTGGTCTGGGACCATCAAGACCTTATGTTTTTTGATTAAGCTCATCGAGATCTACATCTCAGAATTTTTTGTCTATTTTTTGTCCATTTCAATAAAAGCTCAATTTTTAGAAAATCCATATAATATTTTTGACTTTTCTCAAGTACATAGTAGGCTATGGAATAAAATGTGACATGTTCATTTTTTTATACCGTTAACATCAACGGTAGGGTGATATTGCCAAATAATATACCCTGTAAGAAAATAAAGGTGGGGCGGATGGGGCCAGTTAATATGCTTGGGCAATCGGCATTATATTGAAATTTTATTACTAATTTGAAATTTATAATGTATAAGTCTTCCAGGGGGGGCAACCACAACTGCTAGGGGGGGCTCAGACCCCTCTTGCCCCCCCGTAGCTACGGGGCTGGTTTAATGACTCTGCGCCCTCTAGAAAGTGATGTTTTATCCATGTGCGAATTTTCAATGGTGCTTTTTTTACGATATTTCTCAGCCATATTTTTTTAGTTGATTGAACTGGTCTCTGCGCTCTAGAATATGAAAAAGCTGCAGTTTGATGTATGATACATCTATATTAATACCATTTTTTCATACAACAAACCAAAAAAATGTTATACCTCGTCTAGCGACCTTGCAGCACCTCAAGAGAGGCCATTATTTAAAGCAGCTGTGTACGACCGCTCGAACCAAATATAAATTGCAAATTCCCCGCTGCTGCACTCGATCCTTTTCCCTTCTTTTTTCACAAAGTGTGAATTCGCCGTCCGTTTCCGCCTACACTAGGGATTTCCTCGTGGAAGATGGGCATTGTACAAGAAATTTTCGGCTTTGTCGATTGGCTGTCACAAAGCCGGCCTGTTTGGTTGACAGGGTTAATCCGGGCTCGTCTTTAATAAATGTCCCGAGCATCCAGACGGATTCGAGGAGATATCCCGACGGCTAAGGAAGGAAAAAAGCGAATGCGTCCATTCACGGACGCTGACTCACTTACGTTAACATAATTCGTCCGGGTAATTCGATATTGTTTGGACAATTCGATCCGGCGAGACAAAAACCGAACTCGGATTATCGCGACAACAGCTGCGATGGAAATAATCCGTCTTTCGGGATGGCAGCTGATGCAGATTATTTCCAAATTTTAGTCGATCACTAATTAACAGAATTCCATCCTACGTGCTGCGCCATTTTCGCGACCCAAGATTTTAAACAGAAAACTTGATATTGCTGACCAACTCCGGGTGTTTTTAGCCATATTTTTCCGTGTTTGCGTTTCGCTGAAGCGGATTAGGCCGTGATTAAAACGTCGTTCGATCTACGTATCTGTAATGAATTTCTTATGGGCTCGGATCCTACCTGCTGCGCCATTCGGGTCCGTTTTAATACTGTCGTCCACAATCAAAATTAAATTAAAATGGGAGTTGCTAAATACTTTAAAAACAAAACCGTACGCGCCTCGCAGCTCCAGAATTAATTTCTCTAACACTTCACATAAAACTCTCTCTCTAATTAAAAATTTACCAAATCCATCCCGGATTATGTCAGCCGGCAATTTTCGCCTTTTCTAATTTTCATTTACGTACCTTTCCGAAGCTCGTGAGTCCTCCGTGCTCCGGTTTTTTACCCGGAAGGTCGGCGTGGGAACAGTCGGCCCTGAAACATTACCCCGACGTTAAAAAATGGAGAAAGAGAGCTCTGGGACTGCTCCCGTCTTAGTCCTGGCAATCTAGTAGCTGATAGCTCAAGCGGCTTCCTAAAATATGGGACCTCTCCCTGTGAATAAATTCATAACCGAACACTTTGTCGTGGGAGTTTGTAAAACATATTAGCCCTAATTTCAGGCAAGAGGCGGCTTTAATCTACTAACCCTTCCTTGAAGTTGGATGTTGGCAAAAACTAATTTATTTTGGAAGGGCTGGAACGAAAACGAGCTCGCTGGGTATGGATAGTTACTCAAATATCAATTAGGACGCGGAGCTTCTTATTGTCTTGAGAGAAATAGGGGAAATTAAGAGTCTTAACGAGGTTAGGAAGTCGCCAATGGAGGCGAACAATCAATTTAAATTATAATTAAAATTAGTTCATTTTGATAGTCGGCAACGGCTTGAACACCCACGATCACAAGTGAGGGTCAACCTTATAGGACTCCATCTGTTCGGTAAACGGTACAATAAACCAAACTTACAAAGTGCCCCCAGCGGGCGAGCTCTATAAATACACCCCCTTCCCCATGTCGGTTTTAATTAAACTGGATTTCGGCATGCTCCCGAAGTTTATTTTTTAATTAGGAAGTTTTTTAATCTCCCGGAAGTGCATATAACCATAGATTAATATAGATGCGACATAGGTTGATTTTGTAAAACCACCCTTATAGACATTGGCAAGCGCCAAATTTAAATAATCGATGCCAATAAAAAACTTGATTTACTACAACTCGTCGCCTGAGAACTTGTTTGATTTCCAGACCAGAGCGCTCTCAGGCCAATGTCGACTCTAAGCGTTCAGAAGCGATTTGGTTGGTTTAGAGTATAATTTCTGCGGGAAATAGTTGTTTGGTCGGTTTTTATAACGACTAAGTGAATATTTTTGGTACATATTTAGTTTAACTAAGAATTAATTCTTTATTCGAAATCGTAAAACCGAAACATTGAAAAATCGAAATATCGAAGAACTGAGAAATCGAAAAATCAAAAGATCAAGAAACCGAAATAGGTCAAAATCGAAAAATCGAAAAGTTAAAAATTGAGCAATTTGTAAATTATCGAAAAATCCAAATCTCGATAAATCGAGAAATCAAAAAACTTAAAAATTTGAAAAATTGAAAAATTGAGAGATTGAAAGATCCAAAGAACGAGAAATCGAAAAGTGATGAAGTCGAAAAGTCGAAACATAGAGAAATCGACAAACAAAAAGTTAAAAGTTGAAAAATTGGAAAAGCGGAAAAATCAAAAAAACGAAAAAATGGAAAACCGGAAAAACTGAGAAACCGAAATAGGCCAAAATTAAAAATTCAAAAAATGATAAATCGAAAACCTGAACAATCAAATCTCGATAAATCGGGAATGAAAAATTAACAAATCGAAAAATTGAAAAACAGAACATCTAAAACCAGGAAGTCGAAAAATAGAAAAGCCGAAGAATTGAAATATTGAAAAATCCTAAAACTGAAAAATCGAAAAATCAAAAAAGTGAAGTCGAAAAATAAAAACCTTAAAAAATCGAAAAAAAAAATCAAAAACCTGAAAAATAAAAAAATTAAAGAATTGAAGAACGGGAAAATCGAAACACTCGAAGGTCAAGAAATGGGAAAATCAAAACATCGATTAATTGTAAAATCGAAAAATTGAAAGTTTATAAAAGTCAAATTTGAAAAATTAAAAAGTCGAAAATTTGACAAAATGACAATTGAAAAACAGAAAATCAAAAACCGGTAAGTCGAAAAATCAAAAGATTAAGAAATCGAAACATTTCTAAAAATCGAAAACTTGAAAAACTGAAATATCGAAGAATTGAAATGAAAAATCGTGAAATCGAAAAATCTAAAATTTTAGATATTGAAAAAATCGGAAAATTGAAAAATCGAAAAAGTAAAAAAAATCGACACATCGAAAAATCCAGGAGTCAAAAATCGAAAAGTCGAAGAATCGAAATATTGAAAAATCCCAAAATTGAAATATCGAAAAACTGAAAAATGAAAGAAAAACCAAAAATCGGGAAATCAAAACATTGAAAAATCGAAAAATTTAAAACAACAATTGAAAACAGAAAATCTAAAACCGGGAAGTTGAAAAATCGAAAAATTAAGCAATCGAAAAATTGAAAAATTGAAAAAGTAAAAAAATCGACGCACCGAAAACTCCAGAAGCCAAAAATCGAAATGGGAAAATCAAAACATGGATTAATTGAAAAATCGAAAAATTGACAGTTTATAAATGTCAAATATGAAAAATTGAAAAAGCGAAAATTTGACAAAATGACAATTGAAAAACAGAAAATCAAAAACCGGTAAGTCGAAAAATCAAAAGATTAAGAAATCGAAACATTTCTAAAAATCGAAAACTTGAAAAATTGATATATCGAAGAACTGAAATGAAAAATCGAGAAATTGAAAAATCTAAAAATTAGAAATTAAAAAATATAAAATTTAAAAATCGAAAAACTGAAAAATCCAGGAGTCAAAAATCGATAATTTTTCGACTTTTTAAATTCTAGATTTTTCGGTTTCTCGATTTATCGAGACTTCAGTTCTTCCTGAATTTTAAATTTTTTTATTTTTCGACATCTCGAAAAATCAAAAAAACTGCAAAATTGAAAAAGCGAGAAATCTTAAAATGTAAAATTTTAAATTAAAAAAAAAAAACAAAAAATCTCGACTTTTCGATTTCCCGGTTTTTCAGATTTTTATGAGTTTTCATTTTTTCGATTTTCAATTTGTTCTTTTTCAATTTTTTAATTTTTCGATTTGACGATTTTCTGATGTTTTGATTTTTCAATTTTTTAAATTTTTAAATTTTCCGATTTTTCGACATCTCGACTTTTCGATTTCCCGGTTTTTAAATTTTTCGAGTTTTCTGCTTTTCGATTTTTCAATTTTGCAATTTTTCAATGTTTCGATTTTTCAACTTTTCGGTTTCATAACTTTTGGAGATTTCAACTTTTCGATTTTTTAAATTTACAATTATAGATATCCCGTTTTTTAGGTTTTTTGAGTTTTTAGTTTATCGCTTTTTAATTTCTCGTTTTTCAATTTTTTAAATTTGTAATATATCGATTTTTCTAATTTTAAATTTTACATTTTAAGATTTCTCGCTTTTTCAATTTTGCAGTTTTTACATTTTCAGTCGTTCAATTTTTCGATTTCTCAATACATATTTTGATGTTTTTATTTTTCGATTTCTTGGATTTAAATTTTTAGACTTTTCAGCTTTTTGATTCTTCAATTTTCCGACTTTTCGATGTTTCATATTTTTGATTTCTCGATTTTTGAATGTTTCAATTTTTTAATTTTTCCAATTTTTGAATTGTAGATTTTTCGATTTCTCAATTTATCGATACTTCAATGTTTCTTAAATTTAAAATTTTTCGATTCTTCGACTTCTCGACTTTTCGATTTCCCGATTTTTAGATTTTTCGATTTTTCAATTTTGCAATTTTTTCATGTTTCGATTCTTCGATTTTTCGATTTCATAACTTTTCGAGATTTGGATTGTGGAACTTTTTAATTTCGCGATTTTTCAATTTGTTGCTTCTTCAATTTTTCGATTTTTTACGTTTTAAAATTTTCGAGATATTGTTTTTTCGTTTTTGCTTTTTTAGTTTTTCGATTTTCAATTTCTCCTTTTCCAATTTTTCAATTTTTGGAGCTTGTGATGTTTTGGTTTTCCAGTTTACTAAGTTTTTCAATATTTCAATTTTTCGACTTTTCGATTTTTCAGGTTTCTGCTTTCTCTATTTTTCAACATTCAATTTTAGGAATTTTTCAAATTTTAAGGAATCTTTCAATTTCCGTATTTTTCAATTTTTCGATATTTTAGTTTTTCGATTTTTTAAATTTTGAATGTTTCGATTTTTTTTATGCTTCAGTTTCGATGGCCTTTTCTGATTTCGATTTATCAGTTTTTCAATTTTTCGATTCCAGTTGGGGTAAGTGTAGTTATTTACGCCATTGGTTTCTACTTAATATTGATTTTCAGAATATACTCTGAATTTTTCCACAATTTTTGAAATTTAATTAAATACATTTTCTTTCGATCACCAGAACTAGTTCATTTTGTCAATTTTTGGATTTTTCAGTTTTTGAATTTTTTAATAAGTATTTCAATTTTTCGATGTTTCGATTTCTCGGTTTTTCGATTTTTTGACATTTGGGTTTGTCTAGTTTTCGATGTTTAATTTCCCGATTTTTCAATTTTTAACACTTCAATTTTTCAATTCTTGGCTAATTGAAAAGTCGAAGAATCGAAATATTGAAAAATCCCAAAACTGAAATATCGAAAAACTGAAAAACGAAAGAAAAACTAAAAATGGAAAACTAAATCGGGAAATCAAAACATTGAAAAATCGAAAAATTTAAAACGATAATTGAAACCAGAAAATCTAAAACCGGGAAGTCTAAAAATCGAAAGATTAAGCAATCGAAAAATTGAAAAAGTAAAAAAATCGACACATCGAAAACTCCAGAAGTCAAAAATCGAAAAGTCGAAGAGTCAAAATATTGAAAAATCCCAAGACTGAAATATCGAGAAACTGAGAAATGAAAGAAAAACTGAGAAATGGAAAACCTGAAGAATCCGAAAACTGAAATATCCAAAAACTGAGAATCTAAAAAGTCGAAAAATTGAGCAATAGAAAAATCCAAAAAGTGAAGTCGAAAAATTGAAACCTTAAAAAAATAAAAAAATAAAAAATCAAAAAATTCAAGAATTAAAGAACAGGAATATCGAAACCCTCAAAAGTCAAGAAATGAGAAAATCAAAACATCGATTAATTGAAAAATCGAAAAATTGACAGTTCATAAATGTCAAATATGAAAAATTGAAAAATCGAAAAATCGACAATTTGAAAAAACGACAATTAAAAACAGAAAATCTAAAACCGGGAAGTCGAAAACTCGATTGATTAAGAAATCAAAACATTTGAAAAAATCGAAAACTTGAAAAACTGAAATATCGAAGAACTGAAATGAAAAATCGAAAAATCGAAAAGTCTAAAATTTTAAATATTGAAAAATTAAAATACCAAAAAATTGAGAAATCTAAAATTTAAAAATCGAAAAAGTAAAAAGTCGACACATCGAAAAATCCAGAAATCAAAAATGGAAAAGTCGAAGAACAGAAATATTGAAAAATCCCAAAACTGAAATATCGAAAACCTGAAAAATGAAAGAAAAACTGACAAATCGAAAAACTGAAAAATCCCAAAACTGAAATATTCAAAAACTGAGAATCTAAAGAATCGAAAAATTGAGAAATCAAAAAATCAAAAAAGTGAAGTCGAAATATCAAAACGTTAAAAAAAATCGAAAAATTGAAAAATCAAAAACCTGCAAAATTGTGAGATAGAAAAATTGAATAATAAGCAAACTGAAAAATCCCAAAACTGAAATGTCTAAAAACTGAAAAATTAAAAAATTGAAAAATTGAGAAATCGAAAAATCAAAAAAAGGAAGTTGAAAAATCTAAACCTGAAAAAATAGAAAAATTGAAAAACCAAACAACCTCAAAAATCAATTAATTGAAAAATCGACAAATAAAGAGTTTATAAAAGTCAAAAACTGAAAAATCGAAATATTTAAAAATCGTAAAATTGAAGAGAAAAACTGAAAACTGAGAAATTGAAATATTGAGAAATTGTAAAATTGAAAAATAAATAGGAGTAAACTGAAAAGTCCCCAAACAAAAATTTCGAAAAACTGAAAAATTGAAAAATCAAAAAAGTGAAGTCGAAAAATAGAAACCTTAAAAAATCTAAAAATTGAAAAATCAAAAATCTGAAAAATCAAAAAATTAACGAATTGAAGAACAGGAAAATCGAAACACTCGAAGGTCAAGAAATGGGAAAATCAATACATCGGTTAATTGAAAAATCGAAAAATTGAGGGTTTATAAAAGTGAAATTTGAAAAATTAAAAAGTGTAAATTTGACAAAATGACAATTGAAAAACAGAAAATCTAAAACCGGGAAGTCGAAAAATCAAACGATTAAGAAATCGAAACATTTGAAAAATTCGAAAACTTGAAAAATTGAAATATCGAAGAACTGAAATCCCAAAACTAAGTTATCTAAAAACTGAAAAATGAAAGTAAAACTGAAAAATGGAAAACCTGAAAAATCCGAAAAGTGAAATATCCAAAAACAGAGAACCTACAAAGTCGAAAAATTGAGCAATAGAAAATTCCAAAAAGTGAAGTCGAAAAATTGAAACCTTAAAAAAATTAAAAAATAAAAAATCAAAAACCTGAAAAATCGAAAAATTAAAGAATTGAAGGACAGGAATATCGAAACCCTCGAAAGTCAAGAAATGGGAAAATCAAAACATGGATTAATTGAAAAATCGAAAAATTGACAGTTTATAAATGTCAAATATGAAAAACTGAAAAAGCGAAAATTTGAAAAAAAGACAATTGAAAAACAGAAAATCGAAAACCGGGAACTGGAAAAATCGAAAGATTAAGAAATCGAGACATTTGAAAAATTGAAATATGGAAGAGCTGAAATGAAAAATCGGGAAATCGGAAAATCTAAAATTTTAAATATTGAAAAATTAAAATACTAAAAAATTGAGAAATCTAATATTTAAAAATCGAACAAGTAAAAAGTCAACACATCGAAAAATCCAGAAGTCAAAAATTAAAAAGTCGAAGAACAAAAATATTGAACAATCCCAAAACTGAAATATCGAAAAGTTTTTCAATATTTCAGTTGAAAAATGAGCGAAAAACTGACGAATCGAAAAACTGAAAAAATCCCCAAAACTGAAATGTCCAAAAACTGAGAAATTAAAAAATTGAAACATTGAGAAATCGAAAAAATGAAGTTGAAAAATCGAAACTTGAAAAAATAGAAAAATTGAAAAACCAAAAAACCTCAAAAATCAATTAATTGAAAAATCGACAAATAAAGAGTTTATAAAAGTCAAATTTGAAAAATTAAAAAATCGAAAATTTGACAAAATGATAATTGAAAAACCGAAAATCTAAAACCGGAACGTCGAAAAATCAAAAGAAATCGAAACATTTGAAAAATTCGAAAACTTGAAAAATTGAAATGTCGAAGAACTGAAATGAAAAATCAAGAAATCGGAAAGTCTAAAATTTTAAAAATTAAAAAATCGAAAAATTGAAAAATCGTAAAGTCGAAGAATCGAAATATTTAAGAATCCCAAAACTGAAAAATGAAAGAAAAACTAAAAATCGGGAAATCAAAACATTGAAAAATCGCAAAATTTAAAACGACAGTTAAAAACAGAAAATCTAAAACCGGGAAGTCGAAAAATCGAAAGATTAAGCAATCGAAAAATTGAAAAATCGAAAAAGTAAAAAATCGACACATCGAAAACTCCAGAAGCTAAAAGTCGAAAAGTCGAAGAATCAAAATATTGAAAAATCCCAAAACTGAAATATCGGAAAACTGAAAAATGGATTGATTAAGAAATCAAAACATTTGAAAAATTCGACAACCTGAAAAACTGAAATATCGAAAAACTGAAACGAAAAATCGAGAAATCGAAAAATCTAAAATTTTAAATATCGAAAAATTAAAATATCAAAAAACTAAAAAATCTAAAATTTAAAAATCGAAAAATTGAAAAAAAGACAATTGAAAAACAGAAAATCTAAAACCGGGAAGTCGAAAAATCGAAAGATTAAGAAATCGAAACATTTGAAGAATTGAAATATGGAAGAGCTGAAATGAAAAATCGAAAAATCTAAAATTTTAAATATTGATAAATTAAAATACCAAAAAATTGAGAAATCTAATATTTAAAATCGAAAAAGAAAAAAGTCGACACATCGAAAAATCCAGAAGTCAAAAATGGAAAAGTTGAAGAACAGAAATATTGAAAAATCCTAAAACTGAAATATCGAAAAACTGAAAAATGAAAGAAAAACTGACGAATTGAAAAACTGAAAAATGCAAAAACTGAAATATCTAATCTAAAGATTCGAAAAATTGAGAAATCGAAAAATCAAAAGAGTGAAGTCGAAATATCGAAACTTTAAAAAAATCGAAAAATTGAAAAATCAAAAACCTGCAAAATCGTAAGATAGAAAAATTGAATAATAAGTAAACTGAAAAATCCCAAAACTAAAATATCCAAAACTGAGAAATTAAAAAATTGAAAAATTGAGCAATCGAAAAATCAAAGAAGTGAATTTGAAAAGTCGAGACCTGAAAAAAATAGAAAAATGGCAAAATCAAAAAACCTGGAAAATCAATTAATTGAAAAATCGACAAATAAAGAGTTTATAAAAGTCAAAATTTGAAAAATCGAATTATTTAAAAATCGTAAAACTGAAGAGAAAAACTCAAAACCGAGAAATTGTAAAATTGAAAAACAAATAGGAGTAAACTGAAAAGTCCCCAAACTAACGGATCATGGCTTATAAATCAAATCGTTTCCGAACGCTTAGAGTCGACATTGGCCTGAGTGCGCTGTGGTCTTTAGAGCAAACAAGTTCTCAGACGACGAACTGTAATTCGTAATATTCTGGTAAATCAAGTGTCAATTTGTCGAAAGTAAAATGCGTCGTTAAAAATATAATGACATTTTTTCTATTGTAGTTAATTTTATTCCTAGTTAAAAACAAACACTGTTGCCAACATAAGTCGAGGAGTCCTCAACCGTCATTTAATTTAAACTATGACGCGTCCCTATGTTCTCTGATATAACTTACCAGGGCGTGTTGCATGTGGAGGTGAGCGTGAGGTACCTCACCCCCACGTGGTAGAGGGTGCGGAGCACCGCCAGACTGCCGGCCAGCGAGTGCCCTCCTTCCACCCCTATCAGCGAGCACATCTGATGTCTCTGATACGCCGCTTTGATATCTGCAGAAAATAAATAATGCTTAGTGGGCGCAGCTAAAGAGATGTGCCCGGAAATTGGGACCGAGCCGGATGGCCGCAGTCCGGATCTGGAAATTGTCGTCGGAAAAAAATGAGCCTCTTAATTTAATAAACGGTCGTAAGGAATATGCTTTTTGTATGCGGCGGCGTGCCCACGTGAGGACGCTTTCTTGATGATTTATTAATGGCGCAAATCCGACGCGGACGTCCGGCGTGCTCATCCCCGATGACACGAAGACGCGTTTTTAGCAGGCGCGTGAAGATCTTATCGGTGTCTGGATTAAAGCGGGATTTGTGAACCTGAAAGGCGAGTAATGAAAATCTACCAACTGTCACTTTTCGTTAAGAGCTTCTTATTTACTCTTTTAGCGCTCGTCGCCGGGCAGGCCTCATTGAGATTCACGCCCGTAAACACGGTGGAGGGAATTTGTAGTGGAAACGTCAACAATAATCGGGAAAACGGGCCAAGACAGAGGCGGCGAAATTCGGGCCGTTTCACCTGCTGCGCCATTTGTGCATACACCGAGGGATGATTTACGGGGGCGGCGGTTAAGTGACAAGTGCTGCTGGCGGGTCGTGTGCACCGAGAAATATTACTCTCGAGGGTCAATCGGAATCTCACCTGCTGCGCCATTTATGCAGCCACCTAGTAAAAATTAACCCCTATCCTTTGTATGATCGATCCCGTCATCGGCTAAACTACGTTTGTCAGGGTCATTACCTTCGGAGGATGTGCACAAAGTCAGCTTCGGATGATACAATTCGGTGAATCTTCTGATTACGTCAATTTGCTCTAATGTCAGCTGGACCGCATCCTTGTATTGGGAATCGCAAGGGACGTACGCTGCCCAGAACTGCAACAACATTACCATTGATTTGAATGCGAACATGTTATAAATGGCGAACGGCGAGAATGGGAAAGAACTGTAAATTTCCGGGCTGGGTGGGAAAAATTCAATCAATTGAATTGAGCCACAAATTCATCGTACGCTCAGGTAGGCCAATAAGGCGGCGATGCGGGGTGAATGCCAATGGGGTTGTAAGACGAGGGATAACAATGCGAGGGGTGGGAACTTAAACAATTGCCTACTTGAATCGTTTAAATAAGCCCGCGAGGTGTTTGCCCCTGTACTAACGCAGTTGGAGATGTCTTAAATTTTTCACGAAACTGGTAAACGTGAATTCAGTTTCATTCACAGAGACGTAACAAGGTTAACTAAAATGCGGCGTCATAGTTTTAATCTTTTTGCGTCATTGTTGTTATGATGAAAATTAGATTTCATAAATGCAACCTAAAATCTACCCGTTTTTACGGTATTACTCTGTCACAATTTTTGGTTTATTGAACTGTGTTCAGGGGCTTAGAACATGAAAAACAACTGCAGTTTGATACATAGTACATCTATATTAAAATCATTCTATCATAAAAAAATTGGTCGAAAGTTGTTTCAACAGAGCTTCCCTCGCTCCTGAAGTAGAATGAAACATAAAAAACAAACACCTAATCAGATTTAGGAATTTATCTCGTTATTATGGAAATTTGCAGTTTAACCCGAAATAGGCCAAAATCGAAAAATTCGAAAGTTAAAAATTGAAAACTTAAATCGAAAAATTAAAAAACCGAAAAATCTAAAAATGGAAATTCAAACTGTCAAAAGATTCAGGAATCTGAAATATGAAAGAAATCGAGAAATCTAAGATTTTAAAAATTGAAAAATTAAACTATCGAAAGTGTGAAAAATCCAGAAATCGAAAAACTGAAACATCAAGAAAGCGAAAAATTAATAAATCTAAAGTATAAAAGTCGAAAAAATAGACAAATTTCTTGTAGATTTCGGGCTGCAGAACTCATATCCGCTTTCAATTCTTCGATAACTCCATTGGTTTTTCCAGAATCGTCTTTTGAAATATATAAAAATATGCAAAATCCGCCCAATTTTCGTCCAATTTTCAACAAAATTTTCGAAATTTCACTAAATGTATTTTCTTGTATATTTCGGGCCGCAGAAGTCACATCCGCTTTCATTTCTTCGATAACTCCATTGGTTTTTCCAGAATCGTCCTTTGAAACTTTCAAAAATATGCAAAATACCTCAATTTTCGACCAATTTTCAACAAAATTTTCGAAATTTCGCTTAATGTATTTTCTTGTAGATTTCGGGCCGCAGAAGTCATATCCGCTTTCATTTCTTCAATAACTCAATTGGTTTTTCCAGAATCGTCCTTTGCAACATTCAAAAATATGCAAAATACCCCAATTTTTGACCAATTTTCTACAAAATTTTCGAAATTTCACTTAATACATTTTCTTGCGGATTTCGGGCCGCTGAAGTCATATCCGCTTTCATTTCTTCGATAACTCCAATGGTTTTTCTAAAATCGTCCTTTGAAACATTCAAAAATATGCAAAATAACCCAATTTTCGACCAATTTTCAACAAAAGTTTCCAAATTTCACAAAATACTTTTTCTTGTAGATTTCGGACAGCAGAAGTCATATCCGCTTTCATTTATTCGATAACTCCAATGGTTTTTCCAGAATCGTCCTTTGAAACTTTCAAAAATATGCAAAATACCTCAATTTTCGACCAATTTTCAACAAAATTTTCGAAATTTCGCTTAATACAGTTTCTTGAAGATTTCGGGCCGCAGAAGTCATATCCGCTTTCATTTCTTCGAAAACTCCAATAGTTTTTCCAGAATCGTCCTTTGAAACATTAAAAAATATGCAAAATACCCCAATTTTCGACCAATTTTCAACAAAATTTTCGAAATTGCACTGAATACATATTTTTGTTGATTTCGGGCGGCAGAAGTCATATCCGCTTTCATTTCTTCGATAACTCCATTGGTTTTTCCAGAATCGTTCTTTTGAAACATTTTAAAATATGCAAAATTTTCGACCAATTTTCAACAAAATTTTCGTAATTTCACTTAATACATTTTCTTGTAGATTTCGGGCCGCAGAAGTCATATCCGCTTTCATTTCTTCGATAACTCCAATGGTATTTCCAGAATCGTCCTTTGAAACATTCAAAAATATGCAAAATACCCCAATTTTCGACCAATTTTCAACAAAATTTTCGAAATTTTACGAAATAATTTTTGTTGTAGATTTCGGGCCGCAGGAGTCATATCCGCTTTCATTTCTTCAATAACTCCAATGGTTTTTTCCAGAATCGTCCTTTGAAATATATAAAAATATGCAAAATCCGCCCAATTTTTTACCAATTTTCAACAAAATTTTCGAAATTTCACTTAATACATTTTTTTGTAGATTTCGGGCCGCAGAAGTCATGTCCGCTTTCGTTTCTTCAATAACTCCAATGGTTTTTCCAGAATCGTTCTTTGAAACATTCAAAAATATGCAAAATACCCCAATTTTCGACCAATTTTTTATAAAAATATGAATTCTTGGTCGGCCGAAGTTCTGTCGAAATAACTTTTGACCAATTTTTTTATTTTGAAAAATTATGAAAACGATGCGTTTCTTCATCAGTGAAAAATTTTATAATTAAGTCAATTTTATTTTTCGTTTTCCCGATTTTTAATTTTCGTTTTCTCGATTTTATATCAGTTTTTCGTTTTTTCATTCCCATTATTTTTTCAGTGTTTCTTGCGATTTATAATTTTTCGTATGTTCAATTTTTCAAATTTTCAATATTTGATTTTCCAATTCCTCGATTTTCCAATTTTTAAATTTTTCAAATTTGCAATTTTTTGGACTTATCAATTATCCGATTTTCCGATTTCTTTAATTTTCTATATTTCTATGTTACAATATTTCGTTTTTTCGATTTGACATCTTTTTGATTTTTAAACTTTCGATTTTTAAATTTTTCATTTCTTCAATTTTTTTGTTTTCACAGTTTTACAATTTTATAATTTTCCATTTATTTGATATATTGAAAAATGGGAAAAATTGAAAAATCGGAAAAGTGAAAAATCGAAAAATTGCAAATCGAAGACCTGAAGAAACAAAAAATTGAAACACTGAAAATTTATTATTATTTAAATCGAAAAATTAGAAAAGCCAACAATTGTAAAATCGAGAAATTATACATAGAATAGTCAAAATTTTATAGTTGACAAAATGTAACATCGAAACATTGAAAAATTAAAAAATTAAAAATTGGAAAATTAAATTGGAAAATTGAAAAATCGGAAAATTAAATTCGAAAAATTGAAAAATCGAATAAATGAAACAGTTAAAAAAAAAATATATAATTATTGCAAATTAAAAACTAGAAAAATTGCAAAGAAAAAAAAATCGGGACATCAAAAATCGAAAACAGAAAAGAAAGTAAAAGACCAAACGGAAAATTGAAAATGGAAAATTTGAAAAAATTAAAAATAAATCAATCAAAAAATTGAAACAATTTTTTTTTATTGAATTATAATTATTATTAGATTTTTAAGACGAAAACTAGAAAATTACAAATGAAAAATTGGTGAAATGAAAAATCTAAAATTCAAAAATCGAAAAATTTGAAAATCCAAAAGTTGAAAAACCGAAAAACTGCAAACCTAGAATTGTAAAAATCCAAAAACTAAAAGTTTTCACCTTAAAATAAAGAAAAATAATACAATCAGAACATTGAAGAAAAAAAAATAAATAAAAATCGAGAAAATAAAAACCAAATCTAAAAATTGCAAATCGAAAAACTGGAGATGTGAAAAATTCCAAAACCTAAAAATTGAAACACCGAGATATTGAAAAATCGAGAAAGTGAAAAAATTGAAAATGAAAAATCGAAGAGTTACATATGGTAATAAAAGTGAAGAAAAAAAAATAAAAAATGAAAAATGAAAAACTTCAAATCAAAAAATTGGAGAAATGTAAAATTGAAAAAACTGAAATTGAATAAACAAAAAATTATAAAATCGAAACATTAAATATTCGAAAAAATTGTAAAAATCAAGAAAATAAAAACCGAAACAAAAACTTGAAAATTTGAAGAAATGAAAAATTGAAGAATGGAAAACTTAAAATTTAAAAATTGAATAAATGAAAACTTTTTAAAATTCAGTAATTGAAAAGTGCAAAAATTGCAAAATCGTAAAGTTGAAAAAGTGATTTTTTTTTAAATTATAATAATAATTACTATTGCATATTTAAACTGAAAAATAGTTTTTGGTTTTTCCAGAATCGTCCTTTGAAACATTCAAAAATATGCAAAATACCCCAATTTTCGACCAATTTTCAACAAAATTTTCGAAATTTCACTTAATATATTTTCTTGCAGATTTCGGGTCGCAGAAGCCATATCCGCTTTCATTTCTTCAATAAGTCCATTGGTTTTTCCAGAATCGTCCTTTGAAATGTTCAAAAATATGCAAAATACCCCAATTTTCGACCAATTTTCAACAAAATTTTCGAAATTTCACTTAATATATTTTCTTGCAGATTTCGGTCCGCTTTCATTTCTTCAATAAGTCCATTGGTTTTTCCAGAATCGTCCTTTGAAATGTTCAAAAATATGCAAAATACCCCGATTTTCGACCAATTTTCAACAAAATTTTCGAAATTTCACAAAATACATTTTCTTGTAGATTTCGGACCGCAGAAGTCATATCTGCTTTCATTTCTTCGATAACTCCAATGGTTTTTCCAGAATCGTCCTTAAAACATTAAAAAATATGCAAAATACCCCAATTTTCGTCCAATTTTCAACAAAATTTTCGAAATTTCACTTAATACATTTTTTTATAGATTTCGGGCCGCAGAAGTCATATCCGCTTTCAGTTCTTCAATAACTCCATTGGTTTTTCCAGAATCGTCCTTTGAAACATTCCAAAATGTGCAAAATACCCCGATTTTCGACCAATTTTCAACAAAATTTACGAAATTTCAC